CAAGGCCCCCGGCAGCCTCACGGGCAGAAAACAGAGCACTGTGCCAGTGCTCCTGCACTCGCAGAGTCACAGACTGTCCCTGGCTGGAAGAGACCTCCGAGATCAGCCAGTCCAGCCCCAGCCCCAGCACTGCAAGCTCACCACTAGATCACGTCCCTGAGCACCAGGTCCACACGCCATTCAAATGCATCCAGAGATGGTGACTCCACCACCTGGGCAAACTATTCCAATGCCTGGCAACCCTTTTGGTGAAAAAATGCTTCCTAATGTCTCCCCTGGCACAGCTTGCAGCCATTCCCTCTGGTCCTGTCACATATCACCAGGGAGAAGAGGCTGCCCCCTCATCACTCCAGCCTCCTCTCAGGTAGCTGTAAAGAGCAATGAGGTCTCCCCTCAGCCTTCTCTTCTCCAGACTAAACAGCCCCAACTGAACAAATCTTTTCTGTCCAGGAGGCTGCTGGGGGGCTTTGAGAGCTGCAAACAGCCCTGGGGGCTGTTTTGTTTTGCAGCACTCTTGCTGCTTGTCTATTGATCTAGATGTTGCTGGAGTCAGTCTTGCTGTAGTTACTTACCTCTGATGCCAGATGACGCTTGGAGGGTTTCAAAGACATGTTACAGGGTGAGGATGCTAGAGTTACATTGGTTGTCCAGGGGCATCCTTTATCCTTCATGGGCTTTCAAGGAGCAAGGTCCTTATTACTGAGTCCAGGCTCTCATTCCACTTGTTTTTCTTAAGCATGAATACCCAAGTCTCCAGTGAAATACCACCACTGCATTACATTACAGTGTATACCATGATACATATTAACAAACTTCATACACTTCCATACCATTAAGATGTCTTAATACAATAGTTAGGGAAGGGGTTTTTCTTAACAGGATTCACTGTGAAAGAAACATGGGTTTCCTTCACTACAACAGTGAGGTTTTAAGTAAAACCTTCCTCCCTTCCCTTCCTTCCTTCCTCCAGAAAGGCCCCCACACTTTCAGCAGCTGGCATTCACCTGAACCTTCTCCTTTCCAAGTAATTTGCTTCAAGGAATCAGTGCAGGAGAAAATGCAGCACTGTCTCAGAGAGACAGTGTAGATGCAGAAACACCTCACATGGGTTTGATTCTTGTTAAACTAACAGAGATCCTTGATATGCCAGATAAAGAACAAAGAAAGCAGAGTTTATAGCCCAGGATTTATGCCAAGCCTGACTTTGAGGGCACTTCTAACATTCAGGAGAAGCTGGGTGCTTGACTCCACTTTCCTCTCCCCCACCAATGCAGCCTTGACTCACATCCTCTGCTCACCAAGACACCATCAGCCTTTCACCAGCTTCAGCAAAACCCTCCTGTCTCTGACAGGAAAGGGACAGGGGAGGCTGGGGAAAGATTATTCGGGAAGAGACCCAAAGTAATGTGGAAGAGAAAGAGGAAAAAGAAGGGTTCCCCTGAAAGCAGTCAGGGAAAACCATTTCCCTTGCAGCAACTGAGGTATATTGGAGGGGGAAGTATATAGACATAATGAAAATGCCAAGCAGGCAGAATCTCTTTAAACCACAGCATCAGCTTCTCCTTCCTCCCCCTCCCGTGGGCTGCTGCAAAACCCCGAGCAGGGAAGGGGCCAGGCAGGATCCTGTCCTCTCACCTGGGACCCACACGAGTGGGCCGGCCCCAGCCGCACAGACCCAACCACCTCTTTCTTTATCTTAGCACATTTTGAACACAGAGCTCAGCTGCCATCATGGCCCCAGGCCGCCAGGCTCCCTGTCCCCTGGCAGGAAGGTTGCTGGGAGAGCAGCAGTGCCCGCAGGATGGGCAGAGGGGCTGGCACCCAGCAGGGCTGCTGCCAGCTGCTGTGCTGCCACCAAAGCAGCCACGCTCCGGGGGTAAACTTACACATCTGAGCTCTGCAGCCATGGCCAGACTGTGTATGTTCAGCCTTTCTTCATACGACCTGGGAGAAAGGGGGGGCGGGGGGTGAAATCAGATAAGAGTGCAGAATACAATAAACCCCAGTACTGCACAGCCTTGCATAAAGGCCCTTAAATGTGAGCCAGCCTGAGCTCGGGGAAGGGGTCAGGCTGCAGAAGGACAACAGGGCTGACAGTCTGAGGAGGGATGTAATTTTTTCTCCCCACACTGACTCAGCTCATTACATGACAGGACCATTGTTCCACTACAGGCAAACATGCCTAGGAGGATAAAAGCACCTTCTTTTTCACCTTGGGAGCTATTTGGCACTTACCCAGCTGATTAAATAAAGACATATGACTACATTCACACTCTCCCAAAGGCAGGGAGGCACAGAAGAAAGCCAAAGGACTGCCAATGAGACCAGGGGATAATTTTTAGCATAAGAGCTCCCTGAAGGAGTGGCTCTCTGCCTGGCATGCTAGTGAATGCTAGTGCACTCTGACTTGCAGCAAGAAGAGTAAAGCTGCAAGAGCAGGTGGAGCATGAAAAGCCCCCCTTAACACTACAGCTCCAAGACTGCAGCCTGCATTTTCATTTAGCAAACAAGCATTTTGTCTGAGCCCTACAATTTCACTTCTGCTGTATGTTATACATGCACCAACAGATCAGAAGAAAACCTGTCCAGAGTTCAATAGTAATAAATGAGATAAAGGCCCTAATTCCCCTCTTGATTTTTGACCCTGTGAAACAGGAAAGTGGGAGGAGCAATAAATCATGCATTTAAATAAAAGGGCTCAGCTTGGATACTTCAAACCCAGTAGTTAACATCTGAGCTGGTGATTTGTTTGCAACAGATTAGCCAAAGATATCACTACCCCCACCCCATGCATTATTTCTAAATAGGGACGTTTCGGGAAAATTCCCATGGACTCACTGGAGACAGGTCTGTGCACAGCCATTGTCCCTCACTCCTGAAAAGCCCCGAGGGACGAAGCTACCTTTCCTACTCATTCCTGACTCCAGAGCAGCACGTGCATATTCCTGCACAGTAGAAGATCAAGGCTGATGGCAAAAAAGAGGCTTCACAGGGCTGTGGTGGAAAAACCACCCCAGCCTAGGGGGCCTGGCCCTGCCCTCCAGGACAGTCTGGCTCTGCTACAGAGCTGAAATGCCAACTTCTGCTGGAGGCAGCACGTGCTGGAGACCTTCAGGCAGATGGCCTTGGTGGCTACCAGCAAAGCTGCTGCATGTTTGAAGCAGGCTCTGCCTGACACCCACAGTATCTGTTGGCCCAGCAAAGCTGAGGACAGGGGTGCTTTTTTCCTCAGCTTCCAAGCCCACTGCAAAGAGAAAAAAGAGGGAAATGTTGCTCTCCCCGGCCTTCTCATCACACCCTTTGCTGTCACATCTGGGGCAGGGGAAGGCAGCACCAAAGGGCAGCAAAAGCAGTCCTGGAGCCCAGGACACACAGCCCTTGGGAGCTCATTAGCCACCCTGCACAGACATAAAGTGACACAGGCCATGCCTGCAAACATGATTTGCTTTACACATGACGCAGACTGACTGAGCTAAACCCCAGCAACTTTATACCCCCAATTACAGCTGATTTATACTGGCTTTAGTACCCAGTCATGCTTGCAGCTCAATCAGCATAAGGAAAAAAGAGATGCAGAGTTTTGTTCACACCCCCATTTAATATTCTCTCCATGAAAGGGAAAGCAGCAGCAGGCAAAGCAGGAAGTGGGTCAGTCCTTTTTATTTTTTTTCTTTTGATTTCTCATCTTTCCTTAAGACGTGATTTGCCCGTGGTTGCCATATTCTGAAGAGATGCAGCAATGCCCCAGAAAACTCAAGAGAAAGGACAGAGTGGTACAATTTAACAGAAACAGAAGCAGCAGCAGGCAAGAGTCCCAGAAATAATAATTTACCCCAATCTGAAGGGAAAACTTTAGAGAAAGAGTCTGTTTCCAGTGGGAAGACACCGAGGAGCTCAAGAAAATGAAACCACAATAATTGATGCAGAAAAATGTTATTCCATCCATCAGTGCAGGACACACAAGAGTCAGCTGTAGTGTACTCAGGCAAATAACTGCAATCATTTGGAGGCTACAAAATAGTCTTTTTCTAAAAAGGTTGGGTACAAAACACCGGAAGGAATCAGTGAGCTTCTTAAATGTTTATAGCAAGACAGACTACAGATAGAGCTGAAAAAATCCTATAAGATACAAAGGTAGAATCAGGTTGAGATTCCTGAGAGATGTGGCCCATTTTGTACAGTAACTCCAAACCCACTGCCTGAG